AGACTGGTCACGCTCACACTGGCAATGTCCACCTGCATACAGTAAAAACAACAAATGGTCGGTAACGTCCATTTTGAATATTCAGTCGCAATACCCCATCAATCGTGATACGCCCAGACGACGCTGGCACCATGCGAAACAAAGCTGCCATTAACGAACTCTTGCCCGACCCTGTCCGGCCACATATGCCCACTTGGTGGCCTGGCTCAACGTTGATCGAAATGTTGGTCAAGACCAAATCCAACTGGTCTCGGTATCGCATCGAATACGACTCGAATGCAATCGCGCCTAAATTAACAGTAAACCACCGTATCCACTTATCCACAATTCCCCACAAACTTGCAACTCGCACACGCCATACAAGCGTACCTTGCGACGGCCAATCATGTACGTCAGCCCCTTCGTCCTCCGCATGTTCGCTCTCCAACTGGTTGTAATGGTTCAATCTTTCCACGGAGGTCATCGAGTTGTCCAACCAGGCAGAAAAGATGGCTACTCGGGACAGAAGCACCGACAGCTGCGTCGAGTATGTCAGGGACAGCCCCGCCGCCGCCAGTCCCACGGATGACTTGGTGAGAACAGTCACGACGGCACATGTACCGACGATAAGCGACCCGAGAAAGTCGAGCCGCATCTGAAACCACCGCGCGTAGAACCGCACGTTGAAGTCAATAGCTTCGCGCTGTTTGTGTGCAAAACTCGGTGATTTTGCAAACGCTCGGATCGTGCTCAGGCCCTGGTAGGTCTCGCTCACAAGGGAAATCAGCGGCGATTTCGTCACGCCATCCAACCGTTTGATCTCATTGGCCGCCTTGTTGTACCCGGTTTGGGCGGCAAAGTACACGTACCCCACAGGCACGTGTCGTCGCTGCGCAAACCACCAGCACAGACAGGATGCTGAACCCAAACTGCCACACACACAAGCCAAAATGCGGCAAATTCGAGGTCGAAAATCGATTGAGGACGCGACCCCCGGCTTGACGTCGAAGAACGTGGGGACGGGGGCGCGAAGGACGTTGCGCAGGACTTTGGAGTGGAAGTTCTTGGAGCACAACATGGCTGTGATCAGTGTGAAGATGGAACGGCCGTAGACCATCACCACGGACGCCCCAGCGAGTGCCACGTACCCCCACCCATACGCTAGGCTCAACGGGCCGTTCCGAGCCCACACACTCATAAACCAATCCGTCATCGATAACGTCACTTGTGAAATCGTAAACAACACCGTCATGACAAACCCGACCAAGTACCTACACCATATAAAGTTCCCTTTATAAAATGGCATCAACTGTGGTGATTTTTGGCGTTGGTTATGAACAGGCGTCGGCTACAAAGTTTGATCATAACTTTGTAATGTTATGAAGAGGCGAAGTTTGACCATAACTTTGTAGTCGATGCCTGTTCATAACCTGTAGAAGGTCTCGTTTTTCAAGTCTCGGTTGAAGTAGTAGCTCATGTTAGAGCTCATTAGGGAGATTTCGCAATTCAATCCGTGTTCGCGTCCGTGAGAAAAATGACACGGGCACGACCACGGACACGGATTAAATTTAGACGATTTCGCTGTATAAATAGGTTTCCGCGTCCGGAATAAACATAAGGAATCTGCTACTTTGCAATAATGCTGTCGTCAAGCGTTCTTGCTTCGCGAGGCCTGCCCGTCATCGCAGACTTCTGCTCGCACATTCCTACCATCGGTCAACACCATCCAAATACACAGAATCCTTCTGGAACTTTTCGTGGTTGTCGAGGATCAGGTGGAACCTGTGCGATGTTTTCTTGCTGTCAACGTCGAGCTTGGCAAGAGAAGCCAGGAACTTTAAGCAAGTTGCACGCGAGCACCCCCCAAGACTTCATGACCATATGTTGGAGGAATAGTCGCTCGTGGTTGGCCTTTATCCACAGCGCCAAGTCATCCTCGCTTATCAACCTGCTCATACTGTAGCACACGAAACCATCGACCTGTTCGGATAACCTCTATTTCTTATGATTATCCGAATCCGTGATTGCTGCTCTTTTCACAGATTCCGCTATAAAGTTTCATCAGTTTCCGTGATTGTACTAATTACTGAGGGTAATTATTACGGAAACGGACACGGATTACTTTGCGAAATCTCCCTATTAATTGACCGCTCCTACGACGACCTAACCCTGTAGAAATGGGTGTGGTCGCTGCTCATTGGATATAATTCGTTGTGCTCAGATTCTTTTTGTATACGCTAAGCTTAACAGCAATTCCAAAAGAACCAGCCACCGTGGTCTAGCAGTTTGAACATGGGGTCCGAGAGGTCACCAGTTCAACCCCAGCTTTTTGCCCACTTTTTCCCCATTAACCAGGACTTCTATAGCGTAGCGTAGATAGACTTATACGTATAGTAGCGTAGATAGAGTGTAGAGCGACTTGCACCAAAGCGAGCGCTGTGGCGCGACGCCATCGTGCCCCACGGGGACTTCCTATCTTTTCCTCTCGTCGGGAAAAGCGGCAGGTAGGCCGTAGGCCGTGCCGCTCCCAGACGAGGCCTCTTCAACGAGTAGTACCTTAACTTGGAGTTTGTATAGCTCTCAAAATCTGAGAAAATGAATTATAGCCAATGAAAACAGCCCAAAATGGGTTAGGTCGTCGTAGGAGCGGTCAATTAATGGGCTCTGCTCATGTTTGGAGGTGAAAATTTGAATGCCTCTAAAACTACAATAGCCAAGTTCATGCTGTAATCCTATTGGTTATTACATCCTCACTGCACATCACAACCTGCTAATCCTATTGGTTAATTAAATTGCATTTTCAGTGATTTTGATTGATTTATGATATCGTTGAAGACGCGCTGCTCCTACGATTTCGTCGTTTTCTAACACAAATAGAAATCCAAAATGTCATGTTACAAATACGAAGATACTTCGAAATATTTTATCCCTGAGAACAAATTGTTTCCAAGTTCACTATTCGTCCATTTCACCTATATATTTCCTACGAATTTCAACTTTTCCTGAAGTACAGTACAGTAGACGGAAACTCTTGGTATGCTTGGCCAAACAGCTGTGGCCAATTCCATCAACTGTACTGTTTACAGTTAGTCTTGAACCATATAAAGTTCCCCTTATAAAATGGCACCAACTGTGGTGATTTTTGGCGTCCATTTGTAAGATTATGAACAGGCGTCGGCTACAAAGTTTGACCATAACTTTGTAGTCGACGCCTGTTCATAACCGGTAGAAGGTCTTGTTTTTCAAATGTCGGTTGAAGTAGTAGCTCATGTTTGGCGGTGAAAATTTGAATACCTCTAAAACTACTATAGCCAAGTTCATGCTGTAGTACAGTATGCGAGGTTGTTATTACTTGTAAAGGGTTGATTCAATACTGGAGCATGCAACGATGACCGATCTGCGTGTCTTCACCAGTCTATAAGATGACAACAGACATGGTTGCGCCATCAAACCATGCACAACAGCACGTTGCCATATATTCCCCTCGCTTGTTTACAAAGCTAGGACCGCCAATGTGTCATACACTTGAGTAATAACTACTCCGAGTAGTTCAAGTAGCCCACGGACGACGCAACTCGAAGAACAAGACGGACGATACAAAAAAAAAAGGACACCAAATAAATGATCTCTTTCGATCCCAATCCACACTTTTCCATTTGCTTTTCATTGATCATGAAGTCAATTGCTTGCTTTGCTGCCGCGCTGTTGTTGGTTGGCTCGGCTGTCCCCGCCAGTGCCGATGAAGTCGCGTGGCGCTTCTAGTCTGCGCAAGACTACCCGCTCTCGGAATGGAACTCGAACCTGTATGCCGACGTCAAGAAAGACAACTTCAACGAGTGGTGGCTGTACAACGAGGACATCCTAGAGCTCCGCAGCAACAGCAACCCGCGCGTGTGTCTCGACGCGTACCCCAAGGACGGCAAGTACTGGGTCCACACGTGGGAGTGCGACGGTGCTAACCCCAACCAGCGGTGGCACGTGGACATGGCCAATCACCGCATCCAACACGCCACGCACCCAAACGTGTGTCTGGACGCCGACCCCACGGCCCCCGAGCACCAGGTCCAAGTGTGGGAGTGCCATTCCCACGACGTTAACAAGAACCAGTACTGGTCCGTGGTCCAGGAGGTCGGCTACTTGCACCGCAAGGGCCTGTTCCTGACCAATACGCAGCGCAACGACATAGAGGGGGACATTTCGTTTGCGCCGCTGCTGCCGGAAGACGCAGAGAATCCATTCCCGAACGAGTGGCACCAGGAGTGGGCCTAAAACCGCGACTTCCACCTGGTGCGGTCCGACGACGACGACTACTGCCTCGACGCGGACCAGCCGTGGAACGGTGGTCACGTGCACGCATGGAAGTGCAGCCACACCAACGAGAATCAAAAGTGGCAGTACGATGTGTACACCAACCAGCTGCGCCATTTCAAGCACAATGGATATTGCCTCGACATCAACGACGAGACCGGCGCGCGGCCCCACCTCTGGCAGTGCCACCCCCCGACCCACAACTTCTACTCCTTCCAAACGTTTGACCTGTTCCAGACCTCTTCGTCGTTCAATTAACGGCCGCTTTATTCATTTTAGTGTTGTTTTTGAATATATTGCAGTTAACTGCAGTAACAAGTGTTTGACTTGAGGTTGGAGTTTGGAGGTCATCGTAGCCACCGCCGGTTGACTCATCAAATTCGTATACAGATAGTGCGCAAGTACTTTAGCCAAGTTAGCCTCGTTGTAAGAGCAAGCAATTCAAGCATTTCGGCTATGGCTGCATTAATTAGTATGCCCTGTTGTCCACGCAGCTGTTCGGAACGATGAGGCTGCAATGTGTTAAGGGAATTAATCCATGCCGAGACGTATCCGGACAAAATACTGTCAATCCAAAAAATGTCGATCATTAACCAGAAAAAGCAAGGTGAAATAGGCAATTTTGTATGCAGCTGCACTTCACAACCTGCTAATCCTATTGGTTATTACATCCTCACTGCACATCACAACCTGCTATCCTATTGGTTAATTAAATTGCATTTTCAGTGATTTTGATTGATTTATGATATCGTTGTAGACGCGCTGCTCCTACGATTTCGTCGTTTTCTAACACAAATAGAAATCCAAAATGTCATGTTACAAATACGAAGATACTTCGAAATATTTTATCCCTGAGAACAAATTGTTTCCAAGTTCAGTATTCGTCCATTTCACCTATATATTTCCTACGAATTTCAACTTTTCCTGAAGTACAGTACAGTAGACGGAAACTCTTGGTATGGATAGATATACTACTCTGGTCCACAATGACTGTGCCAAAGTTTAGACTTGGATATAGTATAGGGAGCGGTTCAAGAATATCTTGAAAATTGTATTGGATTCTGAAAACGCATAACTGAGTCGGCAAATACAATTGTATTTTTATTCAACGACGAAAACTACTCATTCAAGAGAATTGACCAAGCCCTCAAGGTGAATTTCTTTGCCCAGACGACAGCTCAAGTGAACTAAGGCCTCTTCATACGTCGTCGAGTTGCATTCAACAGTGAAAGAGGACAAGTTCTTAATAGTCGTGTCCTTATTCATGTGTGGAAGCTTATAGTCGTTGCTGCCTTGAATTTCAATTGACTTTTCCAGGA